TAACTTCTCAGTGTTGGTAGGTGCTATAGATCACAAAACTCAACACAAGTTAATAGATAGGCAAAGATGCAAAGTTTGAGTTGACTTGCAATTGCTGGGGTGGATCACGACAGTTCTCCACATTTTACGCTCAACTAGAAAGATTGGAATGAAAGTTATGGACGAAAGGAAGACATAAGTGAGACATAAGACATAAGTGACTCAAGGTTACACTAAACCATTTCATATGAGAATAATAAGTTGTCAGGAAGTTATGGGCAAATCGGCAAACATTTCTTGCCAGTCATTTCTTGTTTCTCTCCCTCCCTCTCTCCCCCTCCCGATTCTCCTGAAAGCCGTTTATTGTATTTACACATCTACACTGATAGTGGCAATCTAAATCACAGAATCCTCATGGTAGTTTGGGCTAGTAAAACATGTGGCTGGGATGAGGGACATGGTCTTCACATGTTTTGGTTTTATTATGGCAGTATCGAAAATTTTCTAGATCGCAGTAGAGGCAGTGAATCTAGCAAATAATTAGTAATTCTTTACATGATCTATCTACAAAATCAAGAGATTACCCTTCCAAGTTTGCTAATTAATTCCTGCTTTTCAAACTCATATTCCTCCAGCCTTTTCAGCAAGGCAACATTGACGCGATCCTTCTGTGCAATGATAGTTTTCTCAGTTGAAATTAGAAGTTTCTCAACCAAATCAGAGAGGTAGCAAGAGGCCCTTCTTTGCTCCTCAGAGACCAGAATGAGGTCGTGAGCATGTTGCATCCAGGAAGTTGGTGTTGATTGTGCTGCTTGAGGCCATGCCCTGGCTTCTCCAGCATAATATTGCGTGTTGCCACTAGTAATGCTCAGATGGGCAGCCTCTGAATCAAGAAGGTCCGCTTCGTGCGTATCACTCCAGGCCTTCTCCATATTCGTCTTTGCCTCGCGGTTTTTTCTTAAAATGCAAATATGGACGTAAGCGGGTTTCATGTAGGATAATATTATCATTACTGAAAATGGGTGTGCGAATGAGTTAACTCCAGTGGTGCACTCATACCACAAAAAAGTCTATAATCCAGCAGTTGACTTCTGACTTCAAACTACCATGAGCAGACTCTGTGTCGCATTCGACCACTTCCACAGTATTTACTTCACCTTACCTTTCTCTTTCTATATCTGCCTCTTTCACATCTGTGAATCAGTCTCCTGTTCCCCCTCACAATATTTTGTGCATTTGTTACTTCTCCACTCTGTGAAGCCCAAAGTCAGCCAATGTGTTAATGATAACTATCATAAAACTAGCTATTTCATTTAAATAAATTAATACTGGAAACTGAGTAGTTGATAGATTGCAACTGAATTCGAAGTTTATTTTCTTCTAGGATGAAGTTTCGACAACAATGTGGATGTCGTTTCCGAAAATAGAGATGAAATAAGAAAATAGATTGTGATAGGTGAAAATCACTGCCGAAGTCACCCAATCGCCAAGAAAACGAGTCTCCAAGTGAAATCACATCTCCCCTTGACGAATCAAGTTGCAAAGTATAAAGATGAACTAAATTTCATATGGGAAGTACTCTGAAAGAGAAGCAGTGAAGAACAACCAAAGGAAGGAGAATGGGGTGAGTTAAGAAATTCAGGCCCAAATATCACTGCTATTTTAGCTAATGTGAATTGTGAATTCATTAAGTTCATTGTAAGTTAATCGACCCTAGTTATGGGCCAAATGTTTCAATGTTATGTAAATTCAAACAATTCATTGAAATATATTTCACATCAATAGATAGAGATCAAATTGAGTAGTAATTTTGGTTTAAGATGAATATGAAACTAGATTCAGCAGAAGAGCTTCTTGATGGATTGATCACACCCTTCGGTGCTCATGGCATAAGGTACTCTAGTGCACTTTGGCGTATATTGGAGTTATAGACCTGAAGATGACGGTAACTTCTCCATCTCTTTAGGGAAACCCTGGAGGAACTTTTAGATCAGGCTGTTATTCACTGCCCTCATGCGGAGATTCTCTGGCTCATGTCGGCGAAATCCAAGTGGTTGGCTGTCAGTCAATTTTTCTGCCCCATTTATTTTCAGGAAATAGTATATTTGTAGTTACATTTTATTAGAGGGAGTAGTAGCACAGCAAATTCTGAAGCACGTAAAAGCCTCCGAATTAAATTCAAATTATGGAAGAAATGTTCTCTTTTCGCTCCCTATTCATTTCGAGATGTGACATTTGAATTTTCGATATCATATTTGGTGGGAAATCCCTGGGAAAAGAATGCGCAATTGACTGAAACAAAAACAAACCATAAACTATTACGTATCGGTGTAACATGGGAGGGCCCATTCTCTTTCCGCTTATTGGCTCCGGCAGAGAAGAGGACAAGTTGTCAATTGTGACAGTGAATTTTAAATTTTGAGATGA